TTTTACTGATGCAAGTATAATGACTCTTGCTCTGTTTTGCTTTTCATTTGCATGAAATATCTTTTCCATCCATTTAATTTTAGTCTATATATGCTTTTATAGGTGAAGTATATTTCTTGTAGGCAACAGGTCATTGGGGTTCCTTTTTTAAAATCTATTCAGCCTTATTTATGTTGAATAGATTCATTGGAGAGTTTAGTTCATTTGCATTCAATATTATTAGGGACAAGTAAGGACTTAGTTTTGCCATTTTGTTATTTGTCTTCTGGTGTTCTTCTTTCTTTCTTTTAGTGAAGGTGAGGTATGTTATAATTTCATGCTTTTTACTCTTTGTCTATGTTTTAAGATTTGAGATTATCGTAAGACTTGCAAATAGTATTTATAGCTCATTATTTTAAACAGATAATACTGAGTGTATAAACAAATAAGCAAAAATAAAACTAATACAGCTCTATACTTTTTCATCTCCCTGCTTTTTAAACTTTGTTGTGTTTATCTTATTATACTAAACTCTACGTTGAAAATTTGTTGTAGTTATTATTTCTGATCAGTTCATGTTTTCATCTTTCTGCATAAGATCTGAGTAGTTTATATACCACAATTACAGTGATACAATACTCTGTGTACTTACTATTACCAGTGAATTTTGTACTTTCAGATTATTTTCTATTGCTCATTACTGTACTTTTCTTTCAGGTTAAATAATTCCATTTAGCATTTCATATAGGACAGGTTTGGTATTGATGAAATATCTCAGCTTTTATTTGTCTGAGAAAGTCTTTATTTCTCCTACATATTTGAAGGATATTTTCACTAGATAGTCTGTTGAATGGTAAAAGTGTTTTTTCCATGAGCACTTTAAATATGTCATGCCAATCTTTCCTGGCCTGTGAGATTTCCACTGAGAAGTCTACTGCCAGAGATATTGGAGCTTTATTTTATGTTATTTGTTTCTTTTCTCTTGTTGCTTTTAAGATCTTTCTTTATCCTTGACCTTTGGGAATCTGATCATTAAATCCCTTAAGGTATTTTTTGGATTAAATCTGCTTGGTGTTCTATAAATTTCTTATTTGATGTCTTTCTTTAGGTTTGTTCTCTGTTATTTCTTTTTTCTTTCTTCTTCTTTGTTTTTTTTTTTGAGATACAGTTTCACTCTTGTTGTCCAGGCTGGAGTGCAATGGCACAATCTTGACTCACTGTAATCTCCACCTCCCGGGTTCAAGTGATTATTCTGCCTCAGCCTCCTGAATAGCTGGGATTACAGGCGCCTGCCACCACGCCTAGCTAATTTTTGTATTATTTAGTAGAGATGGGGGTTTTACTATGTTGACCAGGCTGGTCTCAAACTCCTGACCTCAGGTGATCCGCCTACCTTGGCCTCCCAAACTGCTGGGATTACAGGTGTGAGCCACTGCACCCGGCTTGTTATTATCCCTTTGAATAAACTTTCTATCCCTCTCTCTACCTCTTCTTTAAGGCCAATAACTCTTAGATTTGCCCTTTTGAGGCTTTTTTTTTAATTAGAACTTGTAGGTATGCTTCATTCTTTTTTTTTTTTTCTTTTTAGACAGAGTCTTGCTCTGTTGCTAGGCTGGAGTGCAGTGGCCCAATCCTGGCTCACTGCAACCTCTGCCTCCCAGGTTCAAGCGATTCTCCTGCCTCAGCCTCCCAAATAGCTGGGACTACAGGCATGTGCCACCACACCCAGCTAATTTTTGTATTTTTAGTAGAGACGGGGTTTCACCGTGTTGGCCAGGATGGCCGCAATCTCTTGATCTCGTGATCCACCTGCCTCGGCCTGCCAAAATTGCTGGGATTATAGGCATGAGCCACCATGCTTGGCTGATATGCTCCATTCTTTTCCATTCTT